TCTTTGTGGTGGAGATTGGAGTTGAAGTCAAAAGTCAAGTCATTTTGCGAAACTCGAACGGTCACGGTGGCTGGCTGGCGCGCGTGTTATACGTGTTGTACGTATTCTACACGTAAGACGTGTTACACCTGTTATACGAGTGTTACACCTGTTATACGAGTGATACAAGTTATACGAGTAATACGAGTGATACGAGTTATACGTGTAACATCGCGTGCGTTTCAGGGTCTCTGATTTTTAATAGTAAGTGAGTACGTCAAGTAATCATTATATCCACCATCTTTCAACTGCATGTGCGGATAAATACAATAAGTACTCAGGGGTAGTGTTCAGTATGGTACAGTACAGCTACATCGATCCTTGGCAACAGGCATGCATGCAACGTGCAACAATGCCATTCGAACAAAAGGACCAGATTCCGAGGCCTGAAGCACGAGACGAATGATTCAATGATTCAATGGAATCAGACGAAACAAATCCAAACGACACAATCCGCTGGCCAACAGATCCATAATCGAGAACCCTCCCACAAACAATGGAGGAAGGGGCTGGAGTCGATGACCATGACAATGGTGATGGCGAGGAAGTCCGCCTTCTTACCAAAGAGGATTGCCCAATGCCCAAGATCTTCGGGATAAGACGTGGAATGCTGTGAAACCAATCATAGAGCAGGCAAACAAAGACTGGAGTCAGATTCAGGAGAAGTGCGCCCCGCCACTCTTTGATCTGGTCGAGATGGAGAAAAAGATGTTAGGCCGCCTGCCCATCGTCACAGATCCAGCAACAGGAAAGTGGAAGTGGGACACAATCGACGATGGGCACTCCGCGCGTCTAAAGAGCGTCAAGGCACAGGACGTTCCCATGATGCAATCAGCATGTAAAAAGGTCAAGAAGCAGTGCGTGCGTGCCAATTATGCGAGCCATCAAACGATCCAAAGAAGCGTTGGAAGATGCCACGAATGGGATCGTCCAAGCAGACGTTTGTGTGCGTGAGATTGAAGCTCTCAAGATCCAGATCCAACGGGAGAAAGACATTGCCGATTTGGCCAGATAGAAGCGAGCATTCCAAAAGTCCTCAGTGAAAAAAAAAAGGAATCCATGAGGCAAACTATTCTCACTCAACTTGGCGAGCAGGCTGGGGACCCGCGGCACCAAATCCAAAATTTGGAAAGGGGAATGGATACCGCTGAGTCGCTCGTGGATGCGTTTTGGAAGGAGGTGAAGTAGGGAGAATTGAAGTACTACGAAGACGTCAAGGCAAACCCATCTATGTTTCCTTCCTGGTCGGCTCGTATCGGTACGCTTGACGAACGAGCCCAGGAAAAACAGCGCAAGATCACCAGAGCCAACGAGCGTCTGGCAGATTTGAAGCGGCAGAAAGTGGACAAGGACACTCTGATCCAACAAACTGAAACCATTGACCTCTTGGAAGAAGAGAAAGTAAAGACCGATCTGCTTATTCGGGAATATGATGAGATTGATCAGCTTGTGGCCGCGAAGCTAAAAGAATACAAATCAGGGTTACCGGCAATGGCAGGGGTCAAACGAAAGAAATAAATTTTTGAAGTAGTCTACTAGATGGGGGGCAGCGCATTGCTTCCGTAAAATCCTTTAGAGTAAAGAGTAATCATACTGTACCGGTATTTAGCGAATCTACTCCAAATCGGATGTACCCCGCCAGTACCGGGCCAATATATAGCTTACTTGTCGCCATGCCTCACGAGAAGCAAATGTCCGTGGGTAGAGCCACAACACTCAATCACATGGCTGACAATGACGCCCATGAAAATGGCTGTCCGTGGAGCAACAATACATGCTCTCGGGCTGCCAAGGAGCATCTTGCTTGGTGTCCTCACGTAGCTATGTTCATATAAATGGAGCTCGTTGGGATGCAGAGTGAGACATGAACTGCAGCCAAAGGGGAGATTCGGCAATGCTTTCCTTTGCTCATGAAACTGATTACCCGTGGGATTTGAAAACTTTTTTAGTAGGATGGTTGTGACAAGTTGCAAGTGTTGCAGTTCAGCACAAGCTATCTAGCGACTGTAGAGGAGGATGACGGCGGGGCAAAAACTGCAGCAAACTCCAACAAATATGGGAAGGCGTCAGGGTATGGCATCACTTTGCTTGCCGGCCAGCCAGCTCGGTACCATACAGTAATGGTACCAGTAGGATAGTGGCAGGGTGGCAGAGGTGAAGACTTATGCATAGTTCTTCTCGGGTAGTTGAGTTAGTTGAGTTACGGTACACGGTACTGGTACACTTAACTTCGGCCTCACACTTATTGAGAAGAGTTCCCTTTTGACTTAAGTGACAGGTGTCCAAGCAGACATAGCAGTAACGTGCACAGACATTCTTGAATTCGAGAGGGTGGGGTAATATATTTAAACTTCATTTATTTGTATACCCCGTCCTATTGAGCCTTTTTGCAAGTCCGACTGTAAGCGTGATCGTGAGAGTTTCAGCTCCGTCAATCCTGTATGATGGGTGCGGCCATGCGGCCATGTGCACACACTCCACATGCATTGTTTCTAAGCGACGGCAGTGCCAGTACATGTACAGGAAGATGCAGGTATGAAACTGCACGGACGCTGTTTCGGAGTTTCCACGGTGCATTGGGAAAGGGATGGATGCAATGTTCCAATGCTTCAAGCTTTGAGGCGATCAGCTACTGGAGCTATCCGGTTGCCCTTGACAGTCTCATATATTTTCTCTGTGCCACATTGAAGCATCATTACCATCCACAGCAATAGCTCTATCAATAACAACTACTGTACTCTTCTTGCAGCAAGTCAGTTTTCCGCCATGACAATGATCGCCCCATCTCCGCTGCAGAATGTCGGCAAAGCTTCTGCTGGCTTTAATTGTCTTGCATCGACGTTGGAGTCTCTGGTAATTGAATGTGCCATGGAAGAGGCTCGGTCCAAGGAACTTGGAAGCACTACTACTGCTGCTACAAGCAATCCCTACGAAATGAATGTTCAGGATTATGAACAGGTCCAACAACTGCCCGGCAATGACGTGTGTGCCGACTGCGGCAGCCACGATACCGAATGGGCGTCGGTCACCTACGGCATTTTGATCTGCACGAGCTGCAGCGGTCAGCATCGATCCTTGGGGACGCACATTAGTCGAGTTCGATCAGTCAAGATGGATTCCTGGTCGGAACCACACGTCCAACGCATGAAGGCAGGAGGCAATGGAGTGTGGAACGACTATCTCGCCACCGAAGCTACTGCCGCCACTAGCATTCGAGAAAAGTACGATTCTCCAGTGGCCAGAAAGTACCAAACAGTCCTTCAAGCTAGGATGGAACAAGCTGAGGAGGAAGTAGGCAGTGGACGCCGAACGAGCCGTAGTAGCCGTATCAGCAGCGGCAGCATCCGACGCTCCATCAGCCCTGTTCCACTTGGATCATTGCTTTCACGCCAATCCTCGGTCTCTGCGACACCCACCATCACCTACCTGGGACGTAGCTTTCCTGCTTCCTCGATCAAGTGCAGTGGCGCCATGGTTCCTCTCAGCCGGAATAGCAGCATTGGTTCCAACAGCTCCTTTTCGTCATTGGACCGGTCCAGACAAAGCATGAGCCTTGGCAGCAGCAGCCACAACAACAATCCCATTATGCAACCACTGATGCAAGCATTGGAGCAGGCCAATAATTTGTTTCAACAACAACCGCAACCGAACATTGTCGAGCGGTACACCAATCACCCCGTCTCCAACTTGTTCTTTAGTCGAGAAGACATTCTGGAGATTACATCGGATAAGGAAGAGTTTGAACGACTCAAGCGATCCCTCAGACACAATGGAGCTGTCACCAATCAAGTCGTCAAGCAGCGCATGTTTGCTTTTGTTGCCAACCGAAGAAAGAGAAAAGAGCAACAGAAAAAGGCTTGAGGATGCCCTTTTGCCTGTATGATTCACTATATATATATTTGCATCTATTCGTTTCATACGCCACAGAAAAGAATACTGATTGGAAGCCAAATCAGAAAATGATCTAATGCATTCACCGATTTATTGATTACATCTATAGAGAAAACGGGGTAGCTACTCGATAGATCTACGAATGTTGGCTTACCTAGAAATAGGCGCAATCCAAGTTCCTCCTCCACTAGCTAGCTAGTAGTCTTCTAACCAATTCCCTCTGTTGCTATGGACGGTGTAGCAGCGAAACCGTTTCTCACAAAGTACGTAGTACGTAGGAGAGATACTGCGACCAGAGATCGAAGGCATCCAACTTTAGTCTGGCCAGCTAGCTAGACATCCTCGAGACAACATATATCGGAACCGGTACTGTACCGGTACCATTTGTGAATGAGGTCCTGTCTCAAGTCTCAAGGCCCCTTTGGAGAGGGCATGTCCGGCTTATCATACACAAGAGGAAATTCAAGCTCCTCAACGTTTTCACCACAAGACGCCACGCGTAAACCTCGGAAAGACAACTGACTAAGCATTCTAAAATAACTAAAAACTATTGTGCCGAAGGCTGGAAACCAAAGAGAGCAGAGGAAGCCCAAGTCTCCAAAGGCCTGGGTTGGACCCCACCAAATGATGGGGGCCTAGCTAGGTTGCCAAAGAGCGACCACTATCAAGAAGCACTACCAAAGACTCTTGATGCTTGCGCTTCTTGCTTCTTGTTGGGCACCTCAGCTCATCCAAGATCCACATCATTAGGAATGCTGTAGATGGCTGTTCCAGCGTACCACACAACATCCTTCACCAGTCTAGCTCCTTGCACTTCTTGACATGTTCAAAGATCTTCTCGGCCACAAACAAATATAATTTGTTACAGTATTGATCGTCTTACATGTACCTGCAACATGGACAGTTGTTGCTTCTCCTTCGTGCCTAATACGGCACCACTGAAATGGTAAGGAGAGTACGATGGGAATGGGCGGCAGCATAGTTTCACGCTCCTTCTCCTTCTTTTTTTGGAGTCCACAAATAGGAATGGAGGTATTCCTTCGCGACAAGGAATTCCTTCACTCTATTCCTGCTACTACGTCAATGTTTCTGGTAGGATACTACCACCGACCTCATCAACGACACTATATGTACATCAATAAGCTAATAATTAATGACGGCATTGGAGGATAATGTCATTGTCAAGTATATTATCCGATATCATAGAATACATGTATGCATGCATCGATCAAGATAACCAAACAGCATCTCGGTACTGCTGATCCAAAGAGTGTCCTGTTTTACCACCTTTTTACCGCTCGTTTACCGCCTGTCCACCGTCTGTTTGCCGCTTTTATTTCGTCTTACCACTATGGACCACCTTAGAGCAATCTTCACCATCTTTTGGCCATCATACGGTATGTGTACAAAGTTCAGGTGGTTGGGGATATAATCAAACACACCAGGCTGTTTTGAGGCCCCCCCTGACACGAGAATAGTGGTCAAATAAAAGAAGTGCTCAATTAATACTCTGGAGAATGAAGAGCCTCTGTGTCGTATTACAGTACAGTACGACTTCTTGAAAAGAAGGCATCACGCGACATGATATTGCTTGGTGATCTGCTCTTTGCTTGGGTGGCTGGCCAAAAAAGAAGCCTGTTGAGTAACGGTTGCCTTGAGGTTTATCACTGGTCACTTACTTTTTAATGTCCTTTCCCTCAAGACGGCAACACTTATGCATCCAGTTGACTTGTGCTGACGTAACTTACTGTACTATTTAATAGGACCAATGCATGCGTATAATTATCTTACAACCGGTACCGGTACCAGTATAAGGGGCAGTGGTCTGAGCAACTATTCACATTTATCCTATATGTAGTACAGCTGAAGTAGTCACTAAGTAGAGTCGTTATACCTAATTAATAGCTCAACTTCCATACTTCTCTTTTGGACTAGAGACTCAGTTAACTGCGGTCATTAATGCCTACTGCATCATCGGCAGCTTCTTTGATCTCGGACAATACTCTTGGACCTGATAATAACTATTCTTCCGAAGGCATTTCTCTTTTCCCAGCATTTAAAGAACTGAGGCCGAGCGTACGGCTTTGCGCCCCTTGTTTCCCAGAGGCTGTAGTCCGGTACTTAGTAGGGCGTTTATGTTAAGGTGCCTTAAGAGGGTCTTGGACATTCCTTTTAGAAAGGAGCAAAAAGTGTTTTCGAGTCCAGTCCAAGATCAACCTGGCAATTTTGAGCAATCTTCACCGGACCGAGAAGCCGCCATGCCTCTGCGATGATCGAGGAGATTCTACAAACACACACAATAAACCAAGCAAGAGATTTGCCTTTTGCAGCGCTGCCCACTGCATGTTATGATCGCACTCGAGTCCATTCCAACACTTCGTCCCCTCAAACCACATTCCGTCTACATTCAATACACCAACATCAATAACAAGAACTTTGAGGTAAGTGAACAATGGAACACCATTGAGAGATGCTGACCACGAGATCGGGACGAGCTGAAAGAGATCGGAGACTGTGACTCATAGATCTTGTGGTTTGTTGACGATGATCTTACAAACACGTGCATTAATTTTAGTTATTTAGTTATCAAGAATGGATGGTGATCAAGCGCCGAAGGACGGACCATTCGCCAAGGAAAAGATTCCAGAAGATGAGATTGACTTGCTGGCACCTATGGACCCTACAAGGGATGAGACTTGGAGAGACGCCCCGTTAGATACAGAAATGGGTGAAATCCCTGTATGGAACCAGTCCAGAAGAAGTAATGGACCTCCTCGATTTGCGTCATCCCGTCACATGGAAGCACACCAAGGTGATGATGATGACTGGTCTGGCCCACGCCTTCCCAGTCACTCTTTGATTGATTCCAAGCTCATGGAGGACCCAACCAATTACAAGTCAGTTCGGATTGAGCTACAGGAGGCAGTCGAGGATGTTGAGGAAGCAGACTCCAACAGTGAGTCTGCTGGTTCCATTGATCCTGACAAACTTGAGCAACAAATACGTGATGGCTTCATCAAGAGCACATTGAGTGAACTTGCCATGCTCAATCTATACGATCTCTGCTGGTGGCTATTCAAGTGGCCCCGACTTCTCATCAGCTATCTCTTAGGTGCATTGGGGTGTAAGCGATGGTTTGGCTTGGATGAGCCAGACGAAGAAAAGAAGGACTATCCAACAGTCTATAAAGAGATGTCAGTGGAAGCCACCAAGGCAGCCAATGCAAATGTTGCTGCTGGGCCTCAAGCAATGCAGGCAGCTCCAGCAGCCCAACGATCAACACTCGCTGCTACAACAACTGCGGCTGTGGCCGCTGGCATCGCTATTACTGCTGCGGTGATGACCACTCGGACTCCCGGTGCAGCCCCACCAGCTGACAGCTACTCCAGACCTCTTTGCAATAGCTCCTCTGCTAATGATTATGAGGTCAAGATGGGCATCACGCGTCTAGTTGTTCACAACGTTACTCCCGAGGAGGTCAATGCCAACAAAAACAACCTGGAAGAGGCATTCCGTGACATCTTCAATAACCAAACAGATGCCTGTGATGATGAATATGAGCGCTTCATGCTGGGCAATGAACTTGTCCAGGTTGAGAATATCACAGCTGGAGACACCCCTTTGACACTCACAGTCTGGGAATCCAATGTTAGCTATATCGGATGCCCAGACAACAATCCCCTATTTGATGAGGGCCCAAGTCCAGGTGCTCCAGAAGAGTCAGCAAATGATATAGACATCAATGAAAGGTTTGATGATTTTGTTACTCGCATGTCGCCGGAGATTGCTGTTACCATCGATGACACTACTAAGAAAGCTGACGGCCCTACCCTAACACCACCACAAACATCCACGCCCAAGACACGGAGTACTCCCATTGTGTATATTGATGCTGTGGATCCAAACAACCCAGATGTGATTATTGAAAGCCAGGGAACCATGCCAGAGAAGATGGAGGTTCCCAACAAGGTGAATCTCCCAGTTACAAGCAATATTCCAGAAAACAGTGATAGAGGCGATGAAACGGCACCGAATGACCAGGAACCCCCAGTTTCCACAAATGAGGACCACACTACTGCTGCAAAAGCAAATAATCAGCCCCCGTCCACTCCAAACCTGATTAATAACCAAGACAACCTGGCACCTTCAAGCAAAGACAGGGGCATCAATCAGGCCCCATCAGCTTCAAATGGAAACAACGAGAACAACCCAGGCAGTACACCCAACACCAGCAACAACCCTGGTAACCAGGCTCCATCCGCCACAAACGACAGTACTATAGAGGCACCCTCCATCACCAATGATACCGGTATCAACAAAGCTCCATCAACCACAAATACCAACAGTCAAGCTCCGGCTGCCCAAAACAATCCACAACCAACAGATTCCAACGGGTCCGCACCTTCTTTCCCCACTGTTTTCCCCAGTAATCATGATCCTCCAAGTGCT